CCCGCCGGCCGTTCCTTCGTCGAATCCGCCGGCCGCGCCGCTCTCAAGCCCGCCCGCCTCTGCTCACTCAAGCTGGTCTCCGCATACTCTAGTCCGCCGGTCACTCTAGCCCCCGGCCTCCGCTCACTCAAGGCCGCAGTGTGTGACGCTGTTTCATTGTGAAAGTGAAACTACTTTGGTTGGCCTTCCAAAAGAGGACGATATTTACTTCGTCATGCCTGGAGCTGATCCGTGCTGGCCGCTGAGGTAATACATCAATTTCACGCTATGGATCGCCAGATTGGCTTGCACCGTGGACGAAGCGGAGTCCAGCCTGGGGGCGTCACATGTGGTTCCTGCAATCCCGCCGGCCGTTCCTTCGTCGAATCCGCCGGCCGCGCCGCTCTCAAGCCCGCCCGCCTCTGCTCACTCAAGCTGGTCTCCGCATACTCTAGTCCGCCGGTCACTCTAGCCCCCGGCCTCCGCTCACTCAAGGCCGCAGTGTGTGACGCTGTTTCATTGTGAAAGTGAAACTACTTTGGTTGGCCTTCCAAAAGAGGACGATATTTACTTCGTCATGCCTGGAGCTGATCCGTGCTGGCCGCTGAGGTAATACATCAATTTCACGCTATGGATCGCCAGATTGGCTTGCACCGTGGACGAAGCGGAGTCCAGCCTGGGGGCGTCACATGTGGTTCCTGCAATCCCGCCGGCCGTTCCTTCGTCGAATCCGCCGGCCGCGCCGCTCTCAAGCCCGCCCGCCTCTGCTCACTCAAGCTGGTCTCCGCATACTCTAGTCCGCCGGTCACTCTAGCCCCCGGCCTCCGCTCACTCAAGGCCGCAGTGTGTGACGCTGTTTCATTGTGAAAGTGAAACTACTTTGGTTGGCCTTCCAAAAGAGGACGATATTTACTTCGTCATGCCTGGAGCTGATCCGTGCTGGCCGCTGAGGTAATACATCAATTTCACGCTATGGATCGCCAGATTGGCTTGCACCGTGGACGAAGCGGAGTCCAGCCTGGGGGCGTCACATGTGGTTCCTGCAATCCCGCCGGCCGTTCCTTCGTCGAATCCGCCGGCCGCGCCGCTCTCAAGCCCGCCCGCCTCTGCTCACTCAAGCTGGTCTCCGCATACTCTAGTCCGCCGGTCACTCTAGCCCCCGGCCTCCGCTCACTCAAGGCCGCAGTGTGTGACGCTGTTTCATTGTGAAAGTGAAACTACTTTGGTTGGCCTTCCAAAAGAGGACGATATTTACTTCGTCATGCCTGGAGCTGATCCGTGCTGGCCGCTGAGGTAATACATCAATTTCACGCTATGGATCGCCAGATTGGCTTGCACCGTGGACGAAGCGGAGTCCAGCCTGGGGGCGTCACATGTGGTTCCTGCAATCCCGCCGGCCGTTCCTTCGTCGAATCCGCCGGCCGCGCCGTTCTCAAGCCCGCCCGCCTCTGCTCACTCAAGCTGGTCTCCGCATACTCTAGTCCGCCGGTCACTCTAGCCCCCGGCCTCCGCTCACTCAAGGCCGCAGTGTGTGACGCTGTTTCATTGTGAAAGTGAAACTACTTTGTTTGGCCTTCCAAAAGAGGACACGACATCAGTGGTTAAGTTGTATTTTCAACACTGTTCCAGAACAGTTTAACCCAAATATTCAGATGTGTCCAGCGCATTTTATGGAGGACTGTTTCCTGATCCTGGTAGAGTAGACTACAATGCCAGCTGTTCTGACTCACAGAATGTAAGTACGTTTTTTATATTTAAAGAATATGCCACTGACGATTCAAACACGTGTTTTTTGGGCAGTGTAGAGTAGCACTTGTTGTTTGTCATTTCTCCGATCACAAATGCAGACATGCATTTTATGTAACGCGTAAAAAGACAGTATAAGTCATTATAATCCGTAATTATGTCCCCACTGGATGCAACAAATGCCTTGCTTATAATGGGTTTTAATGTTTTTGTCTCTTCGCTCCGGCCGGACAAGGCATCACAATATGGTAGGGGCATAACATTTCCGTCACATGCTTGAGGTATTCGGCCAATCACAACGCACTGGATAGCTGGCCTATAAGAGCACACCTCGCTTTTCATAACAATGAGCTTTGTAAAAATCGACACGTTTCAGAAAGGCAGGGCATAGAGGAGAAACAATAATGTACAGTATGTGGAAAATAATGTGTTTTTTTTACCTTAAACCGCATAAACACATTTCATTACACCAAATACACAAAATAATGTTCTTTTTCGCAGCATCATATGACCCATTTAAAAGGAATAGATCAAAAGGGTAATTTTTTTCAGGAATCAGATAACACTGGTTGCTTATTTTTTGATTCAATAAAAAGATTCATTTCGTAAGAGTCAGACACATTAATAGAAATGTGTTTTCTTGTCATTATTTTGCAGTAAACACCCTTTTTATCTTATTACTTTGAATTCGGTCCGCAAACTTTACCTGAGGCTGTGGATTCAGCAGTAATAATAAAAACCACAATAAAAAAGATTTTAAGAATTGAGATCGTTCAAATTAAGACTATCATTAACAAGAAAATCTATATACTTTTACTCTGCCCTACCTTTATGTCTATTGCTAACAGAATATGCTAGTTTGCATTATGAATCATTATGAAAACATATTTAATAATAATTTTTACCTTGAAAGACATACCCAAATGTAAGTTTTAGTCAGATTTAGCATGAATTGAATGTAATGAAATAGAAATGGCATTCTCTTAGGAGCAGTTTATTTTTTAGAGAATCAGAAACATGTAGTGCAACCTGTCTGATTTGTGAATAAATTTCTCTTTTTTTAACTGTCCCTTGTCCCCAAAGAAATTCTAGGCACAGTAAACCAACACACGAATTCAGCATTTGTCTATCATTAAATCTGAAATGTAAATAAAATATTAAGATCATAAGATCCCCCCACCCCCCATTGATCTTTCCATTCTTTCCATTAATCCATAAATCCAATCAAAACTACAAATGTAACATGAGGTCGACAGGAAGTCAGTCAGATGCTTGTCTCTTATGACCTACAGACTAATGTAATGTAATATGTAAAGGTCTGTCTCCCTCTGAGTGAACCCGGTCATTTCTGTACAATCCGACAGCCAGTCAGAGTGTGGTCTGGCTGAGTTTCAAAGCAGCGAGAAATGGCATGTCAGACCACAACACCGTGCAAAAACAGTTACCCAATACCCCACGGGCTGCTCCTTGCATTAGCATTACAGCGGAGCTCTGGCTGTATTCGGCAGAATTGTGTAACACTGCCAGTCTGCAGGGCAGGAAGAAGGATAATATATGTCATGCTACAAATTAGTTCTGCCACCCCACTGTCCCCTCATTCACATGCAGAACAACTGTATCTAATCCTCTCACCTGCCTCCTAAGAGCACTTCCCTCAATGACCGTTTATCGTAACACTCTGTCATTTAATTTCCCCCCTCTCTCTCTTTCTTTCTCTCTCTCTCTTTTCTCCAGTTCTTGCCTTCCCACTTGGACAGGCTTTTATCTAAAATTACCCGGAGAAAATGAGGCTAATAACTCACTTTAGACAGTGCAGCGCACAAGGCAATGCTTAAGTCTTTATATGATTTCAACCAGAGGATCCGCTTGGAACAAAAACAATGGGGCTATAACTTAAGGGCCGACCTGCAGCAATACAAAATTACAATAAAGGAGACAACAGCAGACGTGCAATAGTGAGAAAGGAAGTGAGAAAGTGGGGTCTAAAACACACATGCCTGTGGTTGTGAACCATCTAACCACTAATTTGTACTGTGGATTCCCACACCTTTTGATCAATGAATTTCTCTGGTGGTTTGTGATGGATAATGATGTTTAAAAATCATTCAATAGATATTGTATTCAAATAGAGCAATTCTAGCCTAGATTAGCTTGAAAAAACAACAACAACAAATGTCCTACATTTCCATAACTCTTCCAGGCTTTGAAATTTTAATATTCATCTTTAATATCGATGACTGTGGGATTCCTGTTTTATCATCATCTTCAACTTTACTACAGCTGTATAACAAAATCGTACTGTCTCAGATATGGAGCTAAACGTTTCTAAGCAAGTCAGACATGCTGTCACTCTCCTCACAGAATGTTTCACGGTGTATGTGATCTGTCATTCCGTCAAACATCCAGGGCTTCTTGCAGAGTCAGCGAGACTTGTTGAAAAATAAAAACTGATACGTGAAATAACATTTTGAGATGCTGATGTCACTCGTTCTCAGATTTCTTCAACAGGAGGGGATGCTTTGGAATTACATCAATGTGTCAAAATTATAGAGAGTGGCAGCCAAGACATACACTACTTTTCAAAAGCTTGGAGTGAGTAATTTTTCTTTTATTTTATTTATTTCTTTAAGATGAAATAGTCTATAATGTTGTTCACCAAGGATGCATTTATTTGATCAAAAATGCAGTAAAAACAGAACTAATGTGAAATATTATTACAATTTAAAATAACTGTTTTCTATGTGAGTATATTTTAAAATGTAATTTATTTATGTGATGCCACAGCCAAATTTTCATCAGCCATTACTCCAGTCTTCAGTGTCACACGAACAATTCTTCAAGTACATATGCTGCAGGTTAAACAAGGTCAAACGTCATTGGTTTTTACATATCTTGTGACCAAAATTCACATGCATTATATTTGATTTGATTTTCGATAAATAATGACTTAGGGTATATTTGTTTGTTTGGTCTGCACTTAAGTGCGATTGCTGTATTCACACCTGCCCAAAAGATCCGCATCAAGGGGGGAAACGAACTTGAGTTCTATTCAATCAAACCAAACAAGACAGGTGTGAATGCACCCTTAAATTTCAGTGTGTTACTCACACACATAGATCATGACTTCACAAGACTTAGAATATAGCACAAAAGTCTTATGAACTACTTTACAGTGCTTTTTAGGTGTTTTAAGTGACAATTTTCTTCCATACTCATGTGCTGTCAAAAAACACATTGAATTCAAAGAGATCCAGCACTAGATGGATTGTACTTACGATTTATTGGTTTGTGTCCCACTGAAAGCGGGATGGCCCGGTTCAGGGTGGGTCCGACTCCGTGCATCTGCGTGTGAGTGTGGTAGTTTTTCTGCTGAACCATGAACTTCTGGGTTTTGCTCTGGTGCATCGTCATTGAAACTGGGTTTTGTACTCTGGAAGATAAAAACATTAAAAAATTAAAAAATAAAAAGTCAAAACCTTTTAAGAGTTTTTTTTCTCTTTCTCATAATTTATGTCCATATTGAAATGTTATTATGTTTTATTTATTTATGTATTAATTTATGTGGTTTTCACTTTGATTAATTACCTGCTCAAGCCCATATGGAAAACCACAGTACCCTGAACACACAGACTTGCTTCTGGTCACATGTAAATGAAACTAATCAGTTGCAACAAACAAAGCACATCAGCATTCACATGAATCATGAAAAGTTATTTTGCATTATGTTTATCACACATACAGTTGAATGCCATTTGTACAAACACATACTACAAGCACACAGACAAAAATCATAGCACATCACAGCACATAACACTCTCTTTTATTTCTTTCTGTTATAACCATGTTCGTTTTTTTTCAGTAAAATCCTTTTTCTTTTTATTTGTATATCAGAATAGATTTTACTGGCCAAGTGAGCTCAATTAATGAATTTTATTCAGTTTGTTGCAGTGCAGTGCAGTGTTGTTATTATTAACTAAAACTAAAACTATTAAAAGCAATTTTGGTAACTGAAATAAAGCTGGAATAAAAAAATACAAATATTACATTTAAAAAATTTTTAATCTGTTGCCTTGGCAACTAACTGAAATAAATATGTTTAAGTTGAAGTAATAAAAGTGCACTAAAACTAAGCACTATAATTAAAACAAAAACGAATTAAAGCTATATATAGATAAAACAACTAAAATTAATAAAAATGATAAAAGCACATAATATCAATGTAACTAAAATTAAAATTGAAAATAATAATAATAATAAAAGCCCATTCAAAATATTGACAAATACTATAATAGTATATATAAATAATACTAAAATAACACTGTTCTCCACAATATATATAAAACAGCATCATGCTGCTTATAACACAGCATCATGTTGCAGTCTACCTTTTGGAAAGTCAGCTCACTAGCTTTTGGAACAGAAAAAACAAATAAATTAATTAAATTAAATTAAAATTAAATTAAATTAATAATAAAAAATACAGCCAAATTCCCTACAAGAAGTCTGTAAAGGGATTGGGGGGGTCTGATAATTATCAGCTACGTCTGTGTGAAAGTATTGAACATCTTGCTAATAAGGAGACAAAACGGCACACAGCTGTGAGGAAACGGATGTGGTTGCTCAGAATCACAGCTGGGAAGCCTCATAAGGCGATGACGCACAGGACTAAATCAGGGTCCACATCTCAGAATAACAGCACAGACCTGTCTAATCTGTCTAAATGGTGTCTGTACCCTTAGGGATAGTTCACCCAAAAATGAAAATGTATTCACCGTCATACTGTTCCAAACCTGTATCTGACTTTTCTTTCAAACAGCTTTGGTTGCCATGGACTTCCACTGTATGGACACAAATAAATCAATGGGAACTGAAACTATTTGTTACCAACATTCTTCAAAATATCTTCCTTCATGTTCCACAGAAGAAATTAAGGGCGAATTCCAAACGGCTTTTTTGCACCCTTGAAAGGCACTTCAGGAAGGGGACACCATTTGTAAGGATGTTCCAAACAAAAGTGAACAACTGAATCCCTTCACGAAGGGCCCTTCCAGAAGTACGTTAGAAGGGAACATGTGATGGTCACTTCACGGAAGTGATTTCCGATTGTGATCATGTGATCTTCGGTTAGGAGATCTTGCGATGCATTTTAAAGCAAAGTTGAGGGTGATTTCGACTTCACATACAAGCGAAAGTACAATAGGCTAATTAAATTTGTCTATTTTAATGTAATACAAAATATTTTTCGTCAGTGATAGAAAAATGATTTAAGATGGTAGTGTAAGCAATTTTAAGCAAGTTTAGTTTGAAAAAGTTTAATTGTAATAAGACACAATTAGACAATATTTGAATAAAATAATAATAAGAAGAAATAATTATTTGCAATAACTGATGAAGCGTTGTCAAGGTAACGCTCATAGGAGAGTTTTGTCATCCAAATGCTCATAGGAGACAGTAATGACCTACACCCTTCAAAGAACACACTTCAAGGGCTCTGCCCTTCGAAGGGAGTAGGACATGGGGATGCTTACTTCCGTTTGGAATTCACCCTAAGTCATACATGTTTGGAATGACATGAGGGTGACGTTGACAAAATTTGTGAACTACCCCTTTAAGGGCCATTCTTACTGAAATCAACTTGCAATCATAAAGTGACCAGACATCATAATGTGTGATGACTGACAAATACTGCAGAGTTCAACTTTATGCAAATGAGCATTTACACAATGCGACAACTACCAATGGGAGTGCAGGCAGTGATTGCTGTCTTTCAGTGCAAGCAAGGCTGTAGACATAACAACATGCTTTTTATCCACAACAAAGCAAGAAATGAGGACAAAATGTATAAACAGCGTCTGATTTCCGATCAAATGTAAAGCAATGGAATGAGCAGATACACAAAAACTAGCAAACAAAATGAGAATATTTACAGGGAAAGTGTAAACAGAGGTTGTTTTTCCCCAGTGATCTCTTGTCTTTCACACTATTCAACTCTGTCTTTCATCTCTCGTTTGATGTTTCCAAAGATGTCTCATTCTGAAATGTATGTTTGTACTGCTTTTAATGTCATGTAATGTGTTGTAGTGCATAGTCTCTCACCCTTTCTCAGGGTGTATTCACACCTGTCTTGTTTGGTTTGATTGAATCGAACTCAAGTTCGTTTCCCCCCTTGGTGCGGATCTTTTGGGCAGGTGTGAATACAGCAATCACACTCGGGTGCGGACCAAATAACCGCACCGAGACCCAGCTGAAGAGGCGGTCTCGGTCCAGTTCCAAACGAACTTTGGTACGCTTGAGAATTTCTGTCCAATGAATGGATGACCATAGCACAAGTGTGGTTTTGTTTACAATTTCTGGTTCACTTGCAAAAAAGGCAGTGTGAAAGCAAACCACACCAAACAAAAAAAATCAACACTGTATTTGGTCCGGACCAAAGCAAGTGAACTAGCAGTGTGAATACACCCTCACAGTCTTTACATATAACCGTTTATTTCTGTGCCGTGCACAGGGGTGGGCAATATGACCAAAATTTTATTTCACAGAATGAGACATTTTATTTCCCGATAATGATATGTACCTCGATATAGCTATTTTTATTTTATTTTTGTTATTAAAATTAAGAAAATGAAGCAAATTACAAGGACAACAGAACAAATAAATATGAAATAAACTTTTCATTTATTCAGCTACAGTAGGTTAGGTTTATTTAACGTAGTAAGAAATATTACAGAAATTGAATAAAGTGTATAAATAAAACACTGCATAGTCTTCACTGTATCAAACATGATTAACATTAATAATGACAGACAGCAGCAGGTACATTAGACCAACTGCATGGATCCAATATACTGAAACACATACGGTTTTCACCCAACTGTTTTACATTTATTTAACATATAACCGACTGTGTTTACTTGAAAACTCCACACAACGGGCATTATGTCATTGCTGTGTGCGTATTTGGCCATTCAAGCACAATAAAACACGAAAGAGATCTGTTTTCGCGATCGCGTGCTGTCAAGAGAAGGGGCTTTCAGTGCGCACACTTCGGCTGTGTGTCAGTCAGCGCGAGCACCTCATTGATTTCTTTTTCACTGCTTATTGCACTTAATAACTCTACCAAGCACATCCCACTCTTTATTTTCTCATTCATGCATGTTTCCTTATCGTTCAAAAGGTGTATAACGTTTAAGCAGTACTTTGTTACGCATATATTTGCATATATAGATATATACCGTCATACCGCCGAGGCCCTAGCCGTGCATATGTACCAACAGATCAAACGATTTAAAGACCAGTCAATTGGCTCAGTGTTTACAACTCTGGGGTTGAATAACACAGGCACGCAGATATATAAAAAAAGATTTTAGCAACTATTTTGTATTCTAATTATTCTAGACACACAAGTCAAGGCCTAACTGAATTTGTCTGGGAAAAACATATAATAGCTTCTAAGAGTTGAGTTTGAGCCCTCCACTCAGACCAGCAAACACAAAACCAACTTGACTGTATATGTTCCCAGTATGGTTGTAACAGGTTTTGCTGTCGAGAAACATGGCCATGCTTGTTCACCAGCATAAACCACCCTGACCCAACATGAAAATTCAAGTTGGTCTTTTCAGAAGTAAAACCAGTTAAAAACCACCCCACAAACACAGAACATTATTGCTTACAAACCACACACATAAAAAGAAAGCGTAAAATTTCTGTTCTTGAACAGGTGAAAAGCAATGAGCTGTGTAAGTGCTTATAAACTCTCTCTCTCTCACACACACACACACACACACACACACACACCATCACATGTCCTGGACAGTGGAAGCTGATAAGTGGTGAGAACTAGCAGGAAGACAGTGTTTCAAGCATTTCCACATGCCTCTCTTCATTTTCCCTGCATGTATACAGACAATTCATTCCAATTCATTAAACACATACATGCTCTCAAGCAAAAGTCCATCTTTAGAAAGTTTAAGGATGCATTTGCAGAGAGTGATGAATTGATGCACTGGAGAGGTTATACAAAAATGCCTTATATGGAGATGAATTGGGCATGCATTATGTTAATTCGCAACTGCAGGTATGTGCTCTTCATTTAAAATAATCACGATTTATAAACATTAGAACGAGGGAATTAATAAATTTAATGCATGAGGATTTTGTGTGAGAATTTTTTCTGCCCATCTAAGTAAGAACACTTGTGCACAATTTCTAATGAATGCAGCCCAACGCAGTGAGGCTGAGTGTTTGGGTGATTGTTTGGGCGTTGCCTAAGCAAGCACTATTACTAATAAAGCCAAGAGCATTAAAAGCCAGAATGGATTTATAATTCTAAAGCCAGCACTCATGAATGTCCTAATAAGCTGCATTACCAGGCCTGGTGTGGAAAGAGCTGTGGGTTTCTTGCACATGTAGACAGGAAAACTGAATTTTGTG